GAGCCGGGCTCTCCGTGGACTCTGCCCGCCCGCCGCGTCTGCTGTGGCGTCCGCCTCCGGGGGGTGCTGCCTTCCCATCCTTAGCCTCCGTTCGTCCGCAAACCGCTGGAGAGTCCCTCTCTCCCTGTTTTAGAATCGTGGGATCCTTGTGTTTCCACGAGTGAGTGGCAGAGCAATCGCGGGGTGCCGAATATTGGCTTGTTCCTGGACTCTCTGGAGGCGAGGGCCCCCCTTCCTCACGCCACACCCTGCCAGTCTCCCCCAGCCTCCTGGCCCAGACAGAAAAACTTCAGCTGCTGACCGCAGTTGACAATTTAAAAAAAAAAAGGTAGCTAAGGGTCTCTTTGGATCATATCCGTAGTAGCTGCAGACAGGGCCACGTCTCTGGGAAGGAGATGGTAAAAGGATAAGGGAAAAGGTTTGCTGTGAACACTCAAAGCTGGAGTTGGGAAAGAGTTCAGGGCTGGAACTCTGCGGTGGATGGCCTGTGTGCTTCTGTATTCATTATGGAAAGTGTGGGACATTGTTCAGGAACTCGTTTTGAATGGCAGGAGCAGAAGTATTGCATATGTACGTGCCACCATTTGAGTGACTGGTATTTGATGCCAAGTATTAAAAAGCATGTGTTACCTTTTAGGTTAGATAATAGTTCAGCGTAAGAAATGATTGAAATGATGGGAGCTGATGAATCAGAAGAGTAGATGCGAAAATGAGTCGCACACATACAGGCTTTCTTTTACCTGAGAAGACAGTTGTTAAGACAGAAGGAATTCTCAAATGCTACTGATTGAATATTTGGGAGGGTCTGATAATAGTTTTGTCTAATGTAGGTGCCTAGGTGGTCTCTAATATTTATTAAATTTATGATATTGTCCCCCGGGGAAATTACTCTAATTATTTTATTTGGGCTCAGAGAACTAATGCCCACTTAAAAGGGCACAGAAAAGTTGTTACAAACCATGAGTGTGAATTTGCAAGCCAAGTAAACAAACCACAGTATGGTTCATTTTATTTTAATATCCTGAATCATGTTTACTGCCAGTAAAAATGCTACACTACTTTTAATGTAAGTGAAACGAATTCCCTGGCTTGGCAAATAGAAGTCATATATTTCTTTAAGTAAATAGCTGTCAGAGTTAATTTGGGAGCATTTACTAGAGATAAAGACATGAAGAAGCTTTGATTGGGTTGGACAAATTAAAGTATAGAGAAGCTTACAGGCAGAATTAGTTCTTTCCATTTTTGAAGAGTTTTGGTAAGTTTGAATGTTTATTAACTTAAATTTGCAGACCAGTTAGGCGTTACCATTTCAGTAAAAAATATTTGACTTTTCGTATTCCCTATTACTGTTTACCAGGGACCATCATCTTTTCTACAGAGAATGGGAAGTTGATGCCCAGTAGGGCTGAAGGTCCAGTTTGCTAATAGACACTCCCTGCTTTCGGAACTGTGGATTACCTGCGTTTTCCTGGTGACTTCACACATTTACTCACTCCTGCATTCCAAGAACATTGACTTCTGGTCCTCATTGCCCAATTTGGTGAAAGATGGCATCCAGCCTGACTTGTACTGGGGTGATCTGGGCTTTCCTTTCTTTTCTTTGTGCTGCCACCTCCTGTGTGGGCTTCTTTATGCCTTACTGGCTCTGGGGATCACAGCTGGGCAAGCCAGTGTCCTTTGGTACTTTCCGGAGATGCTCCTATCCAGTGCATGATGAGAGTCGGCAGATGATGGTGATGGTGGAGGAATGTGGGCGCTATGCCTCCTTCCAGGGCATCCCCAGTGCAGAATGGAGGATCTGTACTATAGTGACCGGCCTGGGCTGTGGCCTGCTCCTCCTGGTGGCGCTCACAGCCCTCATGGGTTGTTGTGTGTCTGAGCTCATCTCCCGGACAGTAGGAAGAGTGGCTGGAGGAATTCAATTTCTAGGGGGTAAGTGACTTACTGCATTTGAGTTGTTTGCTAGAATCCCAAAGCAATATTGTAAATTATATTTCATTTGTCTACTGAGATTATTGTAATTGACACTTGGAATGCACAGGAGAAATAGATATGGAATGGCTTTGATAATAGACTGTCAGAAAGATTTTTACTGGAGTTGCTTTACAGTTTAGAGAGCTCTTAATTTCTTACATCCTTAGACATATGCATCATTGGCTTGGTAAATACCATCTACAGATTGTAATATACATAGTAGGAGAGATAGTTTGGATTTTATAGCTATTTGTTTTTTTTATCTGATTATAGGTAATTAGATTATCCTTGTCTTATCTGGACTACTTAGTTTTTAGAGGCAAAGGTTTATAGAAAAATGCAAAAGGTTTTTGATTTAACATTGTCATCATAAACCATTAATACTTCTCATTGGATATAAAATTGACCCTTGCCCAATCTTAGACTATATTTCTAAATAAGTATTGCTGCTTTAAATGATAAATCAGTTTTATATTAACAACTAAAAACTTGGACTTTGCTAAAAAGAACTCTATAGGCTTAATTACTGTGCTAGGACTCAACTTCCCTGGGTGATTTTGCTGAGAGGGGTGGAGGAGTAAGTAATACTGCATTTAGTGAATGGTATGTGCTTGTTCCAAATGGACTGGATAGTTTCACTAACACCAAGAAAGTTTTGATTTTTACTTGGCTTTTCTCCAGCAAGTATTGCTTCAATATCTCTGGTTCATATGGTTTTAATTGGACTTTATGTATTTTCCACTGTGCTTTTCACCTTCATTCTTCAACATGACTGGCTAAAATTGTCTGATTTACAGTTCACCCTGGTGAAATATGACAACCTCCACAGATAGTGCAGACTGAAGGGAAATAGGAAACCTGGAAAACTTATAAAATGTATTTGGAACTTCATAACAAAGTAAAAGTCTACCACTTTCCCATTTGGTATTGTCTTACAGTCTTTTGTGAAGAGCACAGAAGAAAGCATATTAAAAGTGAATAGCTCTGAGATATGTGTACATATTAGAGAATCACAATGGGTTATTCCAGAGATTGTAATATAAAGCTTTCCTGCAATGTTTTATGTATGCTGGAAATGCAAGTAGCAAAAAATTATGTGTTTTGACATAAGAGACACAAGAGACAGGTTTGTTTTGGGTCCTTTAATTCCTTACCCTAAATTAACTTTTTCCACCTAAATGTTTTTTCCTGTGGTTTTGCACTTTGGTCTGCTCTGGGGACTCCAGCAGTCCTCTACTTACTGTTTCACTATTGAACAGTGACAAAAATCTTGCCTGTGATATGTGTGTTTACACAGAAAAATATTAAAACTATTAGGAAACATGAAGTTTTTATTGAAAGTAGAAATATAAATGCAGAGTTTGAAAACTTGTTGATACTACAGATTTTTAGAATAATACTAATGTCAAGAGTGTTTAAACATTTTTTTTTTCAAGAATCAACTGGATTTGCTCTTTGTTTCTCTTGGCTCAGGAATATGGTTAGCTAGTTTCATTTTCTTCTCATGATAAATATTACTATTTTTCTTCATTTTAAGGCAGAGACTGCTATTATTTCTGGCAGTGTAGGAAAATGCTTACAAAGAGAAATCAGTTTTTATTGATTATCTTTAAACATATAATGAAAGAAAGCAACAGGAAGTGAATCTGAGACCCAAGAGATTTATGCTTCTCTCTCTAAGCTATCTATTGATTTTTTCGAATTATATAGAGCTAAATGTTCTACTTTACAAAATACCCAAGGGATAGACAATTGAGAAAGTTATATGTATTTTAAGAGGATCCATGTTTTTTCATCATGGATGATTTTCATGAACTCTGGCTTGGAAAGAGTTATTGAGACTAAGCTAAGGATGTAATTTGCTTGTAGTTGGTATTCTCTCATTTCTCACATATTTCTCATATCAGGCAAAAATAGTTCTGAATATAAAACTAAGAAGCTTTTTCTGGTTTTGACCTCTTAAGAGTTAAGTAAGTAAATATGCCTGTTATCAAAGATACTAGTAAATTTGGAATTAAAATCAGCTTGCATTTGAAAAAGGTTTTGAAAAGCTGTCAGTAACCTCTATCAGATGGTAAAACAAAACAAAACATTTCAAAAAGAATTTCTCCTGTTGTTCATTTGATAACTGGATTTTTATTTATAAAACTTGTGTGGTATGTAGTTTTATAACTTTTGTTAAAATTTTCATAAAACGGGTGGGTTCTATAAAGATTGCAAGATGTCAAACCAGTGAGTCCTGTGAACCTCATAGACTATAATGTTTCCGAAATGTAATCAGCATACAGGACACTCTGCAGATTCTCTTACTAAAAATGATTTTCCCAGAAGGGGTATGTTTAGCTAAAGTGAGGGTTGCTCCAAAAACAACAGGAAGCAGGAGAATGGCAAAATACAGAGGCATCCTGCTTAACCCCACCGGCTATATCTAGAGTCTGCACATATGGTGGAACATCAGGCAGTAAAAACCCCTGCAGTACTTTGGAACAAATTAAAGGACAAAGTGTCAACCTTAATTTTGAGTCTTTTTGCTATGGTTGGTTAGAGGTTAAAATGTCGTTGCTTGACTGATAGAACAACACAAGCGGAACTTTTGAAAATGGACATTTGCGACCTGTCATAGGAACTCTCAAGGAATCAATGATGGTTACTTGTCGTGTGGTAACTTGTACAGAAACTTTAATTGCTACCATCTCCATTTCATGAGGTTTGTTTATGCCAAAAAGTAAAAAAAAAGTGTGAATTGAATTTTACCCTCAAGTGACTTTTTAAAAGGGTATATAGAAAGGCACGGAAAACATAATTATTATAAAAATGCTAATGTATATAGTATGATAAAGATGCTTGAGAAAATAGAGGTTTTAATATTTTTGTTTGATAATTATCAAATTATGTGCTTTTAAATATTGCTGTAGTGATTTAGGACTTTTGCAGAATCAAAAAAACTTTTTGGTGTATGTCAGAGGTTTTTGATGTTGTATTTATGTGCTGTGTAAGTGAAACAGGTTAGAACATTGCAAAAACGTATAAAAACTATTTGTAAGGTCTGTGAATGTGTGCTTGCAAATAATCAGGATCTGGTTGTATAAATTTCATGTTAAAAATGGTTAGTGAAGTATTAAGAGAATATCAAAGAGAGCTCTGAATTTATTAACATATCATTTCATGTTTAGTTTGGATGTGAGTCACATAAATGTATAAAATGGGGGCATAAGGCTAACCAGCCACAAAGGACTGTTTTTCCAGTTTAGACACTGTGCTAGTCTACGAAGCCAGGGATACTATCTCCTCAACTAATTGATAGTTAAGTGCTGTTCAAGACAGTAATGATGGCAGAGTGTATCTTTGGGCATCTCTTTCTCTGTGTGCTCCGAGCATCATTGCCTTTCCAGAGTTTTCCCACTGGAACAGTCCCCCATGAGCATGTCTTTCACTCCTTTCGGATGATTGCCTGGAACTCTTCTTTCCTTTTCTACTTTAAGCCTGACCTATCATATGCTATGGTATGTGGTTCTTTCCTCTATATCCAGAGATATAAAGGAAAGCTTTGACAAGTGATAGCTGAATCAATAATAAGTGTTGGCATATTAGTGGGCCTGGTGACTTTTTAGTAAAAGTGTCTTGCTCTAATTTTATGACGTTTTGGAACTTTTTAGGCCAGTTGTAGGAGCAAGCAGGACTTTTTTTTGTTTTGTTTTGTTTTTTGCTCCTCTTTAAATTGCATCTCACAGATTACTAATTACCTGTGTCTCATTTAGCTCCCTGTGACTTACTGTATATGGCCCAGTGAGTTGTCTGGAGTTCTAAGTCAGCAGTTTTCAGATTTTAACATGCATCAGATTAGCTGTAAGAATTTTAAAACATAGAGTCCTTGGGGCCCATTCCAAGCTTCTGATTCAGTTGGTTTGGTGGGGGACCTGATAGTTTGTGTTTCTAGTAAGTTTCCCAGGTGATACTTGTACGGCTGCTTGAGGCCATGCCTTGAAAACTGTATTCTAAGCTAAGTGTATTTTAGAAAATGTGACTTCTGGTAGATGGTTGACTTTCAGAACTTAGAATTGATTTGTGCCGTGACCTGATATAAATCTCTCTAACTGATAAGTCACACATGTGTAAATACCGAATAATTTCCCTGGTGTGAATAATCTGCAACAATGCATAAGATTCTAATAAGATTACTAACATTTAGAAATGGGAAGAAAGGAGCTAAAGGTGTAGGGAAGGTGGGATGGGTAGGGGAAGAGTAAAAAGGGAAAAGAAAAACATGTGAGAGAATAAAAAGATGAAAATAAAGTGTTTGTAGATGGGGAGGGGAGGAGGGGGTGAAGGGAGGGCAGAGGTAAGGGGAAAAAATGAGAATCAAGACTTGTCATGTAGCGGTACAAGATCCCACCAATGAATGTAACTGTACTGTATCCCTAAAAATGTACCAATAAACTCAATTAAAGCTGAAAAAAAAAATCTCTCTAACTGGGCTATGAAAAAGGTCCCACCTCTGTAGTTTGGTGTTGGCTAAGCACATCATCCTGTTTCCATTTCTTCTTGTTCTTTGTCTCCTTTTTCTGGAGTTCTCGCTCAATACATGGAGTCTAGGGACCTGACTGAGAGCATGTGTTTGGCAGGTCTGGGTGGGACTCAGGTGGAGGACTTTGAATGAACTCCTCGAGTGGTCTAGACCCAAATGGTCCGCATACCACAAACCAATGTTACTTACCGAAACCTCAAATTATGTTAGTATTGCTGTGTAGACTTACACAACTGTTAAACTAGTATGAATCATTAGACTTGTCACTTCTATAGTTATTTTGATGGTGGTAGGATTTGAGTTATAGAACACCAGGACTGCTGGGGGAACATGCCTGTTAATACTATGGTTGGTTTCTGCTTTGTATTACCCTGCTAACTTTAAGTGATACTCATTTATGGATATACACCCATAAAGCAGAAAGAAAATCAAA